AAATAAAAAGGGATTTTATCAATAAACTCTAAAGCTGATCCTTTGAAAAGACCAATAAACAGACAAACCTTCATGAAATCCAATTTTTTTGAAAAAACACAACATCAGGAATGCAAAAAGCAACATGATTACAGATGGGGATGTGATTTTTAGAATGACAAGAGGATTCCATGCCTCTGTTTTGTGGCCCCTCAGAGGTGATTAGCTGCTTCGAGATGAAGCCAAAGCTCTCCTTCCCAGCCAGTGGCTGCCAGAAACCCATTGAAGTGGACAGTGAATGCAAACCATACCTTTTATGAGAAGCATATGGACTCAGAAGTTGCCTGTGTCACTCTGGGTAAAAAATAGAAGGGTTCTGTGGGCCGAACTAATGGTACAATGATAAGCATGGCTTCCTTATGAAGCGGCATGTCCTGACCTGTGGTTGTATCCACCTGCTACTGCATATGGGCATTCTGATATAGACCAAGGAGAACTGGAGAAGGAAAGCAGATTGTTCAGGGTTGCATTGTTGGTGCCAATCTGACTGTTCTTAATTTAGTTATTGTAAAAAAAAGATAGGGTGGAGAGAAGGATATTTCTAGACTGACTGATACTACTGTGCCTTTTCACCTGGGGTCCAAACAAGATGGCACAGTTCAATAACTTTTCCTTCTCTATAAAGATGATGTCCAGCAGTACGTTGTCAGTAAGCCCCTAAACAAAGATATCAGGAACCTAGGACCAGAGCACCCGAGACTCAGCATCTTCTCACTCCACATGTCCTGCAACACAAATGCTGACGTACTGCTCTGAAGAAACAGAACACTAAAAAACAGACAAGGAAGACCAGGTGTGGTGGCTCATGCCTGTAATCCCAACACTTTGGGAGGCTGAGGCAAGTGGATCATGAGGTCAGGAGTTCGAGACCAGCATGGCCAACATGGTGAAACCCTGTCTCTACTAAAAGTGTAAAAATTAGCCTGGCACTTGCCTGAAATCCCAGCTACTAAGGAGGCTGAGGCAGGAGAATCACTTGAACTCAAGAGGTGGAGGTTGCAGTGAGCTGAGATCGTGCCACTGCACTCCAGCCTGGCGACAGAGAGAGACTGTGTCTCAAAAATGGTAATAATAATAAGGAAGAGGTCAAATAATATGTTAAACTTTTGGCCAAGAGAATGAAGGATACCAAAGATAAATGCCAGGAACAGATCTCCAAGACATGGAGGCTATGCTCAGTGAGAGCTTCTCAGTCTATCAAAAATAAAAGTTTCACCAGGTGTGGTGGCTCACACCTGTAATCTCCACAACTTGGGAGGCTGAGGGGGGAAGATCACTTAAGACCAGGAGTATGAAACCAGCCTGGGCAACACAGCAAAACTCCATCATTAAAAATAAAAACTCAAAATATTACCCAGGTGTGGTGCCATGCATCTGTAGTCTCAGCTACTTGAGAAGCTGAGGTGGGAAGATCACTTAAGCCCAGGAGTTTGAGGTTACAGTGAGCTAAGATGGCTCCACTGCACTCCGGCCTGGATGATGAAGTGACATCCCATCTCTAAACACACACACACACACGATTTTTCTAAAAGTGGCAGACAAATAATATCAGAATCAAATAAGAAGACAGAGAACATCATGAACACATTTATGACAATATATTTGAAAACCTAAATGAAAAAAAAGAATTATAAATTATCTTAAGAATAAAAGAAAAAAACTACAACATAAATTGAAAAGGTAGTCAAAAATTTACCCTTTGAAAAGGCCCAATATTCAATATTTTTATTTGTGAGGTCTGTGAAAGAATTGATCATTACAATGTTACATAAACATTCCAGGAACAGAAAGATGTAGAAAACCTCCTCACTCATCCCATAAGACTAATATAAAGTTAATGCCAACAAGAAAAAGATTAAAAAGCGAGCAGTTATAAATATGAAAATGTGTACACGTAACTGTCATTGTGTGCAGACAACAGGCTAATTCAAGTAGAAAATCTATGCAAATTGACTAAAAACCTTTTATGACAATACAACTAATAAAGTGAAAAATTAAAATATTAACAAAGAAAAATAATTGCTTTCCTGTACTGGTAATAATTAATTAGTAAATATAATAGACAAGATCTTATACTATTACTTTTTCAATATTATTATTTTGTAACTCTTGCCCAGTAAAAGAAGACAAGAAAAATAAAGCAAAGCCTAAGAATTGGGAGGAAGAAACAAAATTAAATGCCAAAAAAACTGATTGCCTGTGTATCTATACAAGAAAAATTACAGAAAGTTGCTAAAACTGATAGGCGAGTTCAGCAAATATTCTGTAATATGAAATTAATTGTATTCCCTCTATATCAGCAGCAAACAGATACAGCTTTTAAAATATAATGTTGAAACTATACCATTTCAAATGTGCAACAAAATAAAAGAAATGATATGCCACATTTCCGGCCAGGAGACTTAATATCATAAAGATGTCAGGATTCCCCAAATTAATCAATATCTCAGTGCAATTCTAATAAAACTTCCAACAGAATTACTTGTAGAGCCTGAAACTGATGCTAATGTGTCTGTGGAATAGAAAAGGAAACTGAATAGCCAAGATAAATGTTGAAGAACCACAGGTTGGAAGGACTCCTGCTCTGTGAGAGGGCAGGACTTACTATAAGGCTATGGGAATGAAGACAGCACACTACATCAGTACCAAGATAAACAGATAAACCTAAGGAATGGAATGTAAAGGCTAGCACAAGACCCACACACCTATGAACATACAGCTCGTGGCGGAAGAAATATTTCAATTAGGTAGGTAAATGTGTACTATTCAGTAACTAGTATTAATAAAATTACTTATCTATACAGAAAAAAATAAAAGCATATTTCTACCTCATATCAAACCTGAAAGTAAATTTCAGGTTAACAAGTTATTGTGAAAAACTAAACTTTAGAACCTTTAGAAGAACACAGAAAAGAATGTTTTTATGACCTAAAATAGGGAAGGATTTTTTAAACAAGATCCAAAAAGCACAAAACATAGAGGAAAAAATTATAAATTTGACCTCACTGAAATAAAAAACTTAGATTCACCAAAATACGCTATAAATAATGCCAGAGACAAGCCACAAGTTGGAATAAGATATTTCTGATGCATACAACTAGCAACGGATTAAGAATAGACATGAAAGCACCATGAGATACCACCCTACTCTTGCAAGAATGGCTATAATTAAAATAATAATAATCATAGATGTTGGTATGGATGTGGTGAAAAGGGGACACTTTTACACTGCTGGCGGGAATGTAAACTAGTACAACCACTATGGAAAACAGTATGGAGATTCCTTAAAGAACTAAAAGGGATATACTATACTATTCCATACAGCAATCCCACTACTGGGTATCTACCCAAAGGAAAAGAAGTCATTACATGAAAGAGACACATGCACACACACGTTTAGGGCAGCACAATTTGCAACTGGAAAGATATGGAACCGGCTGAGTGTGGTGGCTCAGGCCGGCAATCACAGCACTTTGGGAGGCCAAGGCAGGCGAATCACCTGAGGTCAGGAGTTCAAGGCCAGCCTCGCCAACATGGTGAAAGCCCATCTCTACTAAAAATACAAAATTTAGCAGGTGTGGTGGTGCATGCCTGTAATCCCAGCTACTTGGGAGGCTGAGGCAGGAGAAAGGAGAATCGCTTGAACCCAGGAGGTGGAGGTTACAGTGAGCTGAAATTGTGCCACTGCACCCCAGCCTGGGTGATAAAGCTAGGCTCTGTTTCAAAAAAAAAGAAAGAAAAAAAGATATGGAACTAACCTAAATGTCCATCAGCCAACGAATGGATAAAGACAATGTGACGTATATACACCATGGAATACTACTCAGTCATAAAATGCAATAAAATAATGGACTTTGCAGCAACCTGGATGAATTTGGAGGCCATTATTCTAAGTGAAGTAACAGGAATGGAAAACCAAATATCATATGTTCTCACTTATAAGTAGGAGCTAAGCTATAAGGATGCAAAGGCATAAGAATGATATAATGGACTTTGGGGACTTGGGGAAGAGTGGGAGGACAGTCAGCGATAAAAGACGACGCATTGGGTATCGTGTACACTGTTTGGGTGATGAGTGCACCGGATCTCAGAATTAACCACCAAAGAACTTGTTCATGTAAGCCAAAACTACCTGTTTCCAAAAAACGATTGAAATGTTTTAAAAGAATAGAGAATAGAATATCTTAAGCACCCTACAAGCGAACAAGAAAACAACCTGAATCAAACAAGCAAAAATATGAACATGCAATTTAACGGAAGATAAATATCTAAACTCTCCACCCACTAATCAATCATTTTATAACCAAATTAAAGCAACAGTGACGTGTCTCACACACATTATATGAGCAACATTTAAACCAATTCACTAAAGAATTGATGAGTTTGTACAGTAATGTCATTTCTCCTACACTGGTAATAGGGGTCTAAGTTGGACAAACATGAAATATCTAGTGAAAATGAAGATACATGTACTCTAACTGGCAATCCCACTTCTGAGTGGATACCCAAGATATAAATCTGCATGTTTATTGCAGTGTTATTTGTCCTAGTAAAAGAAAAAATGAAACACCTAAATGTTCCTTAACAGGACAGTGGATTTTTTTATGGTACGTTCATATAACAAGCATACCCCTATACAGCAGTCAAGGTGAAAGAACTAGAACTAAAATACATCCAAAGTGCTAAGTCTCAAAAACATCGTGTGGATAGCAAAAACAGCAAGTTTTCAGAAAACGTGCAATGTGTTACTGTTTATATAAAATTTTTAAATCTCCAAAATAATGCTATGTGTTTGCATATTTAGTGAACATACCAGAGCATTTCGGGAGTGATGAACATCGAGTTCATTTTAGTGATTCCCTCTGGGGAAGGAGGAAAGGGAAATGTGGGGAAGGGTGAGAGGGCCCTCCTTGGAGTCTATAGGATGGGCTGCATGGCCATGGGCTCTCCCTCCCCTCCAGGTGTGCCACTGGGGAGGCCTGGCAGGACATCATGCTGGCCTGCATGCCAGGCAAGAAGTGTGCCCCAGAGTCTGAGCCCAGCAACAGCACGGAGGGTGAAACACCCTGTGGCAGCAGCTTTGCCGTCTTCTACTTCATCAGCTTCTACATGCTCTGTGCCTTCCTGGTAAGCCGACGGGGGCCTCAACAGCTAGTCATGAGTGCCCAGGTCCAGGGAAGCCTGAGCCCTCCATCTCTGCAGCTCATGGTCAGGGCAATCCCATCAGAGGAGCTGGCTTGGGAAGACTAAGTTGACAGGAGTGTCCAGCCACATGGAGAGAAAGGCAGAAAGCCCTGGGCCAGAGTGAGCGCCACCAGCATCTTGCTTGTCCGTTCTTGGCTCTTGTCATGGTGGCATTGTCCCAGAGGACAAAGGGGACATTTGAAGGCCTAGAAAGAACTATGCTTTTTAGCATCTTGCTGAGGAGTGAGGAAAAGGGGATAAAGTCCCCCTCTGTCCTGGGCAGCCCTGCCCAGCAGCTCAGTAGGAAGGAAGCTGTAGCCCAGATGTGGGTTCATCCCACGTAACTCTCAGGGAAGCTGTATCAAGGTTATGTCCAAGAGACCCAAGACTGGTAGTTCTAAGACTGGCAAGATGGATTACTGGTCTTTAGAAATGTTGGCTTCTGCCATCTGTGGGCCCTGGCTGGGAAGGGGGTTCCAGAGGCAGGTGTGTAGGAACATCTTCTCAGAGCACTTCACGGTACTGTCTCCCGCAGATCATCAACCTCTTTGTAGCTGTCATCATGGACAACTTTGACTACCTGACAAGGGACTGGTCCATCCTTGGTCCCCACCACCTGGATGAGTTTAAAAGAATTTGGGCAGAGTACGACCCTGAAGCCAAGTAAGTTCCCAGAGGGAAATCCTGATTCCCCAAGCTGAGAGAGGGTAGAGCTGACCACACCTGCAGAAGGGGTTCAAGGTGGGCCAACACTGCGTGGATCAACTGGAAACACCGAACTGCATCAAACCCCAGGGTGAAGGGTCAAGGTCCAGCAGGACAAGGCCCAGCACCTCAAAGTCAAGACTATATCTACTAAGTCAGGTGCGGTGGCTCACACCTGTTATTCCAGCACTTTGGGAGGCCAAGGTGGGTGAATCACTTGAGGCCAGGAGTTCAAGACCAGCCCGGCCAACATAGTGAACCCCAACTCTACTAAAAATCAAAAACTAGCCAGACATGGTGACACACACTTATAGTCCCAGCTCCTCCAGAGGCCAAGGCACGAGAATTGCTTGAACCCAGGAGGTGGGGGTTGCAGTGAGCTGAGATCACACCGCTGCACTCCAGCCTGGGTGACAGATCAAGACTCCATCTCAAAATACATACATACAATATATGCAATATTCAGTTGAATGGAAGGATAGGAAATTCTAGTATCAGGAATAACTAGTAAGTGTTGAAGTTAGGATATGTAGGGTGGGGGAAAATCTTGACTCCATTCCTGCTTTTGGTCTAAAGATCATATTTACCCTCAGTAAATACCTTTTGGTCTGAAGGTTAGTTCATTCAATCATCAAGTACATATTGAGAATTCTGTTGTGCCGCTAAAATCCCTTCCACCTTGAACATAGCATGGGCAGAAAATTACTCATTAAAATCTAAACGTGTGTATTGGTTTGGGCTGTGTCATGCAGTTCTGCAACTCTGCACTGAGTGTGACTAATCGGGCCACCACACCACGCAGCGTTCCCCATATGAGTGGGCTGTACCCCTCAGGTGCATGTGTCCTGAGCTGCTGGCAGAGACCATGGCTCTCTGATGCTCTGTCCCTTCTCTCCTTCCTCCTTCCTCTTCTAGGGGTCGTATCAAACACCTGGACGTGGTGACCCTTCTCCGGCGGATTCAGCCCCCACTGGGTTTTGGGAAGCTGTGCCCTCACCGTGTGGCTTGCAAAGTAAGAAATGACTGGGTTCTTGGGAGGAAGAGAGAAAACAGGGGAGGCAAAGTGCCCGTTTCTTGTGATCCTCTAAGAGAACAAACATACTAGTTTTGGGCCTAAAAGAAGGAGCCTGAGCCAGATTACATCTTAAGGGTGCTTCCAGCTCTAAGTCCTCAGACTCCATAAGAGAATAACAGAGTGAATGCCTCATGTCCCAGTGAGCCAGGAGCCCAGTTCTGGATAAAGGACTTGTTCAGCCCATCCCACTGCACCATCCAGGCATCCTGGGATGGGAGACTTCTCAGCCTAGGCTAGAGGTGTTAGGAGTTCTTTCACTGGAGCTGGAGGGCCATTAGAGAGTCCAGGCATTGACTTCAGGGGTCTGTGAGCCCTAAAATTGTACGTAAAATCACTAAAATACAAAGTTTACCGGGGGAGGATTTCTCACTTTAATCAGATTCCTTAGTGAGATCATGACCCAGAAAAGAGTGTCATTTCTATTCCCGCCCCCCCCCCCCCCCCCCCCCCCGCTCTCCACCCTAGTCATTCTGTGCTCCCTGTTGGGGCAATACTGAGCTGGCGGAGAGCTGGGAAGGGAGACCAGAGGGATAGATCGAGGAGGAAACTCAGATGCAGGAGGATTCGGCTCTGTGAGAATCCATTCATGGAAAACACAGATTGAGGGCACATAGAACCTTCTACTTATGCTCTGTTTACTGAGTTTCTTCTCATATGTGCCTCCACTCTGCCCCAAAAGACAGATTTTAAGAGATTTCCAAAGGCATAGAAAATATCAGAAAAAGGGAGCATAAAATAAATGCAAGGTGCAAACACCATGCAAAGCGAGGGTGGGGGGAGGGGTGCAGCTTGGAGGGGGTTCATGTGTCTCAGGATGGGCCTGGGCAGGCTGAAGCCTGGGTGTGAAACTTTCCAGTGGCCGTGATACAGTTCACACTATCCATGAGGTTCAGATCATCAACATCTGGTCACTCAGGAAAAGTGTAACCCTTCTAGACACTGAGATTAGCAGGAGGTCACCATGCTAGCGGACAAAGAGTTCACCTTGAGCATGCCCGTGGCATGGATGCCATGATGGTCTTCACATCACACATCCTCATCATGGCCCAGTGCATGCTGAGGGCCCCACACCAGAGCCTTCAGTGCCAGGGAAGCCTGTTTTGGGGGTGCCCTTGCAAAGAAGAGGGTAAGACAGATCTACCCAGAGTCAGCAAGCTTCTGCTCCAGCTTGATGCAGAAGCACGTTTGTCAATAGACAGGACAGGCGCCATCCCCTGCAGGCAAAGCTCCTGTGATCCTTTCTCTTCTCTGGGCTGTGGACAAATGCTGCCTGGCAGGTGGGCTCCCACCACATGATGGCGTGCAGCTGGCCTCTTCTGCCAGTGGAGAGCACACCTGCACGCCTGAGCAGACTTTCAAGCAGGGCACAAGGTTGAGTGGCTTCACATCCTTTTGTGGAAGCGAGGGTCTGATGAGGACAAATTTCATACCTTTCCCACTCTGTGAGGAGGGTCAAAAGTAGTTATGGCAAAGATTCTCTCTGGAATGCTTCAGGGAGTATTCACTCCCTGCCTACTCCAACAACACCCACACAAGCTGTGTCTCCCCCAGCGTCCTCTGGGTATTAGGCCATCCTTGTACTGCTATAAAGAAATAGCAGAGACTGGGTAATTTATAAGAAAATGGGTTTAATTGGCCCACAGTTCTGCAGGCTATATGGAAAGCATGGCACCAGCATTCTGCTTCTGGGGAGGCCTCAGGAAGCTTCCTGAGGTGTAAGGGAAAGGGGAGGCAGGTGCGTCACATGGAGAGACAGGGAGCAAGAGAGAAGGGGAAGGGACCACACACTTTTAAACAACCACATCTCATGAGAGCTCACTCATCAAGGGGATGGTGCTAAATCATTTATGAGAAATCCACCACCATGATGCACCACCTTCCATCATGCCCCACCTCCAAATCTGGGGATTACAGTTCAACATGAGATTTGGGCAGGGACACAGATCCATATCACTCTGCCATGGTGTTCTGTAGTCCCCTAAGCACCACATGCCATCATCACCAGCTTTTCTCCCCTTCCCCTGCAGCGCCTGGTCTCCATGAACATGCCTCTGAACAGCGACGGGACAGTCATGTTCAATGCCACCCTGTTTGCCCTGGTCAGGACGGCCCTGAGGATCAAAACAGAAGGTAAGGGCACCTGTGGGCACTTGGAGAGCCACTCAGACAGTCCAGCAGACAATCAGAGAGGAGCTCAGCAGCCTGCAAAGTGCTCGAGGGACCTTCCCGCCCCAGACAGCTTCCGAACAGGGATATGGGAGTGTAACCTGTGCTCCAGGATGTCGCCGGGCCCCAGACTGCTCATGATTTATTTGCTTCCTGAATGGCCTCCCTGCCTCTAGCTCAGGGGTATCCAATCTTTTGGCTTTTCTAGGCCACATTGAAAGAAGAAGAATGTCTTGGGTCACACATAAAATATACTAACAATAGCTGATAAGCTGAAAAAAAAAAAAAAAAAAAAAAAACCTCAACGTTTTAAGAAAGTTTGCAAATATGTTGGGCCACATTCAAAGCCGTCCTGGGCCACAGATGGCCCATGCCTGTGGGTTGGACAAGCTTGCTGTAGCTTATTCATTTTGAACTCTAGCTTTCCATGAAACTCTGGGACTCATTCTGGGAAGTATCTTAAGTCAGAGGGTATAGCTCACAAAACAGAGAGATAGGTGTTCCCTGAAGCAGGACCAACCCCTGTCAAAAAGGACTTACATTGGCTACAGGTGGGTGTCTTAAACATGCAGCTGTTTAAATTATTAGGACGGTGCTGGGAAGACATATGGGAATGGGGACATAGCGACAGGTGGTAGCTTTGGTGGAGGTCATTGCACACATTGTATGAGATGAGCCTGGCTCAAGGCTATCAGCTGGCTGAAAGGTGAGGATTCAGACCTCACCTGTGCCACCTAGTCAGACCGGGCTCCCTCAGGGCTGTGTCCACTAGGAGGGGCCCTTCTAGTTTTCACAAGGCACCCTAAGGCTAGTAGCAGCCTGAGTGAGATAACCTGCTCACTTTACAGTGGGTAAGAGTTTGTGAACCACTGTGGGAAAGGCTGTATTAAATATACCTCAGAAGATGCCATTTCTCTCCAAGAGTGTCCAGCCTTAGCGCGTCTAGTGTTTCTTAGAGCGTGGTCAAAAGACCACCTGCTGCAGAATCAGCTGTGCACACCTGTTTAAGCTACTGAGTCCCAGGCACCCACACAGATCTGCTGAAGCCAGCTCCCTGAGCTTGGGGCCCAGGAATCTGCATTTTGAACCAGCTACAGCGATGATTCGAACCCAACAGTGTGGTAATTAGAGAAAACACAGATAAGACAAGCAGTATGCTTCCCTCCCCTTCCTACACTTCCAGCCTAAAGCGCAGGCTGCCCATCAGTGTTTTCCTTTGGGGAAACAGCAGGAGCCCTGGGCGGGGAGATGGAATCTGAGTCCCTGCTCTCTCACTAATGACAAGAGTATGAGCCATTTACTCTATCTCTACTTCAGTTGCTTCATTTATAGACTAGAGAAAGGTGATTACATCTGGGCATTTAATTCATTGAATAGACCAGAGATGGGCCTTCTCTCAGTTAGATCCTCCCAGAAAATAACAGAAACATTTGAAATGGAGGGAAAAGAGAACCAATCCACCAAAAGTCAAAATAATGAGCTGATTTTTAAAAAATAAAACTAAGGGCCAGATACAGTGGCTCATGCCTGTAATCCCAGCCCTTTGGGAGGCTGAGGCAGGTGGATCACCTGAGGTCAGAAGTTCAAGACCAGCCTGGCCAACATGGTGAAACCCCATCTCTACTAAAATACAAAAATTAGCCAGGCATGGTGGTGGGCGCCTGTAGTCCCAGCCACTCGGGAGGCTGAGGCAGGAGAATCACTTGAACCTGGGAGGTAGATGGAGGTTGCAGTGAGCTGAGATCATGCCACTGCACTCCAGCCTGGGCAACAGAGCAAGACACTGTCTCAAAAAATCAAATCAAATTAAATTAAAAATAAAAATAGGACAAGTTTTGCTACTAAACTAAAAAAAAAAAAGCAGAGGCTAAAAAAATATACCATCAGTAGCCGATGCAATCACTCAATCTGAAACGGGCAGAAATAGGCCGATTTCTGACTACCAGAAAACTAAAACACACATTTTTTTTTTTTTTAATTGAGTCTTGCTCTGTCACCAGGCTGGAAAGCAGTGGTGCGATCTTGGTTCACTGCAACCTCCAACTGCCTGGTTCAAGCGATTCTTCTGCCTCAGCCTCCTGAGTAGCTGGGAATACAGGAACACGCCACCACACCTAGCTAATTTTTGTATTTTTAGTAGAGACCGGATTTTATCATGTTGACCAGGATGGTCTCCATATCCTGACCTCATGACCTGCCAGCCTTGGCCTCCCAAAGTTCTGGGATTATAGGCGAGAGCCACCCCGTACCCAGCCAAAACACACATTTTATGCACACATGTGTACATAAAACAGAAGAAAACTGGGAAGAAAATGTGTTACTGTGTTAATGTTGATTATCATGAGGAGAAGGATCAGCAGCTACTTCTGCCTTACTCCTTTAGCTTTTGTACTTTCCAAATTTTCTACAAAGAGTATTACTACCCTATGCTCAAAGGGAAAGAGAGACAATAGGATGACTACCAGGAGGAATATACTGTAATACTTAAAGCTTGATGTAAATTACGGATGTGAGATTTTGTTCCATAGAGGAAGAACAGGCAGGGAGGTTGGAAGCAAGGATTCAGCAGAGTCGAAGGTTCACTGTCAAAGCACAGCACATGCCAACTAAGGAAGACCAGTAGCTAGTAACAATGCAAAAGACTGACCAATCAAATGCAGAGGCCCAGTTTTGAGGAAATAGGAGTTCCAGAGAAAAGGAGAGAAGCCAGCCATGTGGGAACTACAATCATGTCAAGAACTAAGGACTATCTTTTTTTTTTTTTTTTTGAGACGGAGTTTCACTCTTGTTACCCAGGCTGGAGTGCAATGACGCAATCTCAGCTCGCTGCAACCTCCACCTTCTGGGTTCAGGCAATTCTTCTGCCTCAGCCTCCTAAGTAGCTGGGATTACAGGCACGTGCCACCATGCCCAGCTATTTTTTGTATTTTTAGTAGAGACGGGGTTTCACCACGTTGACCAGGATGGTCTCAGTCTCTTGACCTCGTGATCCACCTGCCTCGGCCTCCCAAAGTGCTGGGATTACGGGCTTGAGCCACCGCGCCCGGCCAGGACTATCTTTTTAAACACAGAAACATTTCAGAACAGCTTCCAACGGGCCTGTGATGGCCCCACCCAAGGGTGAGCCTTCATCAGACATAGGCCCTCCACAAACTTGGTAAAATCTTAAGAAAGGAAGACAAAGTCGAGTCTTAGAAGCAACTAGAAAGAAATGTGAGAAGACATCTACATTTGTGAGGATAAGGCTTACATCAGTCCTCACCCTTCAGATTTCTCAGAGTGGCAGGATTGGGGAGAAATTAACACCTACTTCCGAGAACCAGAGCTCTCACCCCAAGTCCAGTACCAAGCCAAACAAGCGTTTCTCTTGAAATATAGAAGGAAGATATTGAAAAATACGTAGATGACATAAAACAATTGTGAGTGAACTTCCACAGTTACATAGACTATTATGAGGATGAACTAAGGCCTGATTTAGAAATGAAAGGCCTCTTTTGGAAGGTGTGTTAATTTCTTAGCTCCACTCTAACAGATGATCACAAACTGGGCAGCTTGAAACAAGAGCAAGTTATTCTCTCAGTCTAGGAGGCCAGAGGTCTAAAACTAAGGTATCAGCGGGGTTTGTTTCTTCTGGAGGCTCTGGGGAGAATCTGTTTCACCCTTTCTCCCAGCTTCTAAGGGCTGTGGACGATGCCTGGTGGCTCACGGCAGCATCACGCCATCTGTGCCTTCATCTTCATATAGCCTCTGGGGTCTTGGGTCCCCTCCTCTTCTTATAAGGACACCAGCCACGTTGGATTTAGGGCCCACCCTTATCCAGGGTGACCTCATCTTAACAAATTACATTGGTGAAAATCCTATTTCCAACTGAGGCCACATTCTCAGGCTCTAGGCAGACATGAATTTTGGAAGGACACTATTCGGCCCAGTGCTGAAGCTAAGTATATTTGAATACTGTGTGTGCTAGGATCTTTCACTGCTTGTCAGAAACCTCCAGCTGCCTCTCCCATGAAGGGGATTGATCGCCTGCATAGCTGGTAGGCCCGGGAGTCATTCCCTGCCCTCAGGTCCTGTTTGGATCTGACGTTCAGGGAGCTCGGGATTCTGTCACTCACTCCACTGCCACCTCTGCATGCTCTTCCCTGTGGCCCCAGAGGTGGATTTGAACGCAGGCAGTCTGACATGAGAGCCCTCAACCATGATACTGGACGGCTAGTCCTATGCAAGAGCAGTGAACATCCCCTACTGCTCTCACATAAGACCAGCAGTCCAGTATCGTGGTTGAATGTGAAACATTCCTACTGCTGTGAAACAAATTTACTACAAGCTTTTCAGCTTAAAAAGACACCCCGTTATTAGCTCATGGTTTGCAATTCAGAAGTCCGGCAGTGGTGAAGCTGGGCTCTCATAAAGCAAATCCAAGATACTGATCAGGCCGTGGTCTCTTTTGGAGGCTCTGGGGGAGATCTTGTTGTTGGTGGAATTCATCTGTTGCAATTGCAGGTCTGAGGTCCTCACTTTCCTGCTGGCTGACAGCTGGGGACCCACTCACCTCCTAGAGGCTGCCTCTCTTAGTTCAGCCCACATGAGTGCTTCCTTTCTTCCAGGCCAGGTGGAGAGAACTCTGCTTTTAAAGGGCTCATGTGACTAGGTCAGGCCCACCTGACCTCTCTGTCTTAGGCCGTAGGTGCTATGTGCCATATGACCTAGTCTCAGGAGCAAAATCTATCATGGTCCAGGGCTTTGGCAGCATGTGTGCCCTGGTGTGGAGCATCTTAGAATCCCACCTCCACATCTGCTCACAGCTGTAGGTCTCAGCTCTCCTTTTATACCACTGGAAAGCCAGGACCCCAGAGGCTGCATGGGACAGGCATCTAAGTAGGGGAACTCAGGACAGGGCCCTCATGGACGGATGTACCCTCCAATCATCCATGTCCCCTGTGGCTGCCTAAGGAGGTCCATGAGAAATGCCACCCATGGGGAGCTGTCCTCCACTGCCCATGGCGGGGCCTTGCATGTTCCTGCTGCTGAGCACATGGCCGCCATTGTTGCTGCCTGGGGGCTGGGCTCCGTCCACAAGGAAGAGCACTGAGTGTCAGCAGAGGGGCCCCCTGGCTGGCCTGAGCCACAGGCAGAGGGCAGGGGAGAGGGATGGCATTGGACAGTGCAGGAGAGGGAAGGGGAAAGAAGGAAGGTGGAGAGAGGAAGGGGAAGAGAAAGGAGGTGGAAAATGGGAAGACTAGGGAGAAGTGAAGCAAAAGAGAGAGAAACTGATGAGTCAGGGTTGCGTGGGGCAGATGCCACCATCTGTGGCTTCCTACCTTACGCAGAGGGACCCAGCCCATCAGAGGCCCACCCAGGGGCTGAGGATCCTTTCCGCTCTGCAGGGAACCTAGAACAAGCCAACGAGGAGCTGCGGGCCATCATCAAGAAGATCTGGAAGCGGACCAGCATGAAGCTGCTGGACCAAGTGGTTCCCCCTGCAGGTGGTGAGTGCTCCCTGGACTCCTGTACCTTGGCCACTGCCTGGCTGTGCCTTCCTCTGCCTGCCTCTCCTCCAGCTGTGGCACCCTTAGAATGCAGAAGCATCCCATGAGACTTGCTTCTTGAGTCCCCTAGGCTTGCTGGAGGTCTGCCTTCAGACCCTTCCTGCGGGACTCAAAGGCCCTATTGGTTAGAAGAGATGAAGGTACAATGCCCTGCACAGACTCAGAAACAGAATGTCAGGTTGGAAATCTGGTGCAACTCTGCTTTTTACATAGGGGAACAGGCCAGTCCCTTCACGCTCGGGGGTTTGGCAGAACTTCTAAGGAAACTCCACAAGGTATAGGTTTCCCATAAACCTGATTGCTGTAGGATTACAGTAAGGCCCTGAAATAAGAATCCCCTGAGAGTCCTCCCCTCTTGGATGAAATTCTTTTTGTTCTTCCAAGAGCAGTGTTTCTTGACCGTATAAAGCTCCCAATCCCTTTTTATAGCAGAGAGTTTATATTGCCTTTACTATGATCCCGAATGAAAATTATGGGTAATATAACTTTCTTATACATATAATTTCCAAACATTAATATAATTCTATAATATATTATTAACATATAACATATATATGTTAATATAATGTCTTCACTCTAATATAAAGAATAATATATTAATATAATGTCTTCACTCTAATATAAAGTCTCTTAAAAGCAGATGTTTTCAATATGTAAATACTCAGGCATAACCATACTAGAAGATACAGTTAACTGATGACATCCTCTCATGTACCCACTTACAACACATACAGCTGGTTTACAGGAAATACGACAATACTGAATATTGTCAACACTTTGTGTTTGACATTTTGAAATAAAGGGTAAATAAGTATACTAAATAAGTGTGTGAATAAATAGTCCCACACACATCAACACACACACATCCTTACACATTCAGTAACCATGATGTGATGCTTACGGTGGGTGACCCAGATACCACAAAGAGCATCGCCATCAGGAATACAGTTTTCAAAAATGCGAACCGCTCTCGGCCAAGTTCAAATAACCCAAAGTATAGTCTTCATCAATTTACACAGTTGTATTCCTGGAAATTTTCAGGCATGTTAAAACCATGCAAAAAAAATGTCCTCTGTTCATTTGCAAAGTGAAATTGTGTTCTGATCTCAGGGAGTCATGAACAGAATCATGGACATGTGACATAGGCTTGAAAGCCATGCAGAGTGCGAAGCTGTGATTGCAAGACGTGCCTGCACTTTAAGGGACAGGTCTGGAGCTGCTTAATGCTGGTGGCACCCCGCAGCACCCTGACAACTGAAAACCATCCTACACATTTACTGTGCACTCCTTCAGAGGTGACACCACTTGTGTTGAGAACCACTTGCCAGAGGGAAAGCCGGACTTGGGCTGAGTGACAATCCCCTAAGTAGGCAGTGCCACATGACGTTTCAAACGCATTATCTTACTGAATCCTGACAACGTTTCTGTAAGGTTTGCTCAGGGAACTAAAGTTCTTAGAAGCTGAGTTGGTGACCCAAGGTTACCTGGAGAGTCCAGAGCAGATTCAAGAATCAGACCCAGGCCGGGAAACCGAAGACTCCAGGCTTGTCCCACCATTCAGTTCTTCCTTCCTGACTATACTGGGCAGGGGACCCTGGGTTTTCCCTCCCACTTGGAAATGGGGCCCTTGCCAGAGAAGTGGGGGTCACCACTGCTACGGATTTGGTTATTTTTGAGGGACAGAGAACCCTCACCAGCCCCTAGATCTAATCCCCAGCGGTCTCTTGGGCCCATTGCATCTCTTGACAAAGAACCACGAGGTTCTTTACAGGCATGAATTGTTTCCTGTGGGAACTTCCAGCTTCTTCACCGTCAGGTTCACTCACAGGACAGGGACTGATGATGTCACATGTAATCTTGGACACCCAGCCCAGCACGGATGAAGCCAAGCCACCTGGCACAAAAAACCCAATCTGGTTTAAAAGAAAAATCTGAACTTCCGTGGGAAGAAACCCCTCCCTCCAACCTAAGCAGAGCTGTGTTGTACTAGCGTTTGGAAGACTGGCCAATTGATAAGGGACATTTGAAATTTTGGAATTAAGTAAGAGTTAGCGAGTATCAGTAAAGTTTAAAAAAAAAAAGGGGGAAAATAATTTTGATAATAGTCTACCTTTTCCATAAAAAAATGGGATAAGAATATGTTTGTTAATTTACAGAAATAATTTGCACTAAGAATCTCCCAGAAAATACTCAAGAAACTAGATTATCTACAAGGAGGTGGCGACTAGGCAGATAAGGGCTGTGGTGGGAAACACTTTGCACTATAAGCCTTTTTATGTATTTTTTTCTCTTTTTAAGCCATGTGAATGTACTACCTCTCCAAAAAAATTAAACCTAAAAAGTTAAAGAAAGGTTGGATGCTGAAAAAAAATGGATGAAGTACAACTGAATTCCCCTGCTCCCCTCTTACCCCCTCTCCCCTCTCCATACGTCTCAGATGATGAGGTCACCGTTGGCAAGTTCTATGCCACGTTCCTGATCCAGGAGTACTTCCGGAAGTTCAAGAAGCGTAAAGAGCAGGGCCTTGTGGGCAAGCCCTCCCAGAGGAACGCGCTGTCTCTGCAGGTGAGGGTCTGGAGGTGGGTCCACACTCCAGGAAGGTCCTGGTCACTGCCTCTAACCTCCAGTCAGGGTCCCGGTCCTTCCCCAGCAGCTGGAGGCCAGGTCCCGGCAGAGGGAACCTTTCAGAGAGCTCCAGACCTTTCCAAAGATGGCTGTGAGAAGGGAGTGATGTGCCCTTCCCCACCTGCCGTCACTGACTGCCCTCCACGGTCCTGCCTGCTGTCATAGGCCCCAGAGCTCTGAGCACTTCACTCAGGCTCCCATGACGGCCCCTGACCCCTGGCACCCCCTCCTAATGAGCCTTCCTCCCTCCTGGATGGGCAAATGGATTCTTCCATCAGAGGGCAGCCCAGCCCCCCCGTTCACACACAGGCAAACCTTCCAGAGGGTCAGCTGGCTGGGTGGAGGATGCCAGGGACCTGCAGGGACAGGCCTTGGCCCGGGGCTGTGGCCGGCTGGGGAGCTCGGAGGAAAGGGAGTGCAGTCCTCACTATCCTCCCTCTGGGTTCCAGGCTGGCTTGCGCACGCTGCATGACATCGGACCTGAGATCCGACGGGCCATCTCTGGAGATCTCACTGCTGAGGAGGAGTTGGACAAGGCCATGAAGGAGGCTGTGTCCGCTGCCTCTGAAGATGACATCTTCAGGGTGGGTGGCACCATGGCGCACTCTCGACCTCTATAAAGTTCAGTTTGGAGCAAGAGGGTGGGCAGGGTTTTGCGGAGAACGTCCAGGGGAAAGAGCCGCACCAGAGGACAGGGCCACTTCCAGGCTCTTCCTGATCAGCTGTGTCCTCACCCCTTTGCCTTTTCCAAGCCTGACTCCATCCCAAGGCAGGGCTCCCTGGAAACGGCATTTCACAGTGTCTCCCCAAGGGAAATGTTTCCTAGGAGAAGAGAAACTTCTATATCAGAAGTTATAAAGTGGTCACCCTGGGCATATCTAATCTGCAGGCTTGTTTGGTTTGCTACTATTTGAAAATCTGGCACATTCAGGTCAAAATCAAGACTCCTGGCATTCCTTGGAAAAGTCAGGAGACCTGCAATTTTGAGCTTGCATTCCGGCAGGGCAGCAGAGGGCTGGAGCCTAGTGGCAGCTGCCCCTTGAGATGGAGCATAGCATGTGTTCTGCAGATCTCCAAGCCCCTCCAGTCCTCCCCCTTCCCTCTCCCTTCCTGGAGACTGAAGCTGCCCAGCAGTTGCAATAGTGAAAATTAAACACAGCTGTACCGGAATAAGGGGCATTTATACCTCACATGTGTTACCTGCCTCACCCCGCTGGTATTTGGTTAAAACTCCTCCTATAGCAAGGGAGAAGTTGCCAGTCATAATCGTGCAGGGCCCTGTTCACACCTGCTCCCAGCCCAGGGCCCAGTTCCCAGGCTGTGGAACACACAGGAGGCAAGCCGAGCCCATCCTGCCCCTGCTCCTTCTCTTCCTTATCCTTATCCTCATCACCTGAGACATTCGTCACTAAGTAGCCTCAGGGACATGGCATGATTGTGACTCCACCTGACATGATCCCAGAAATCAAAGGCTCAGTCACCAAGGCCCAGGGATGTTCTGGTGTCGAAGTTTGCAACCTTGCAAATAGCTCCTTGCCCACTTCCCCAGGACAAGGAGAAGATACTCAGGGAAAACACTGGCTCTTGGCTTGAACTATCTGTGAATCCCTGAGGGGAAAAAGAGCATCATGCAGGAAATTCCTCATTTTCAAAACCATTTGGCCGACACAGCTTTTAGCTCCGTGAGCACATCAGATTTATTGATTTTTAATCTGGTTAGAATCTTCTGGTCGTTTTCCCAGCCCCCACCCTCACGGTGTGCTGGCTGCTCTCAGGGACCGCTGTCCTAGATGTGCCCTGGAAACTCGCTCCCAGCCTTCAGGGACTTCACTGGAAACCTCCAGGGCAGCTTATACCAGCGGGAGCCTCTTGCACAGTCCCATCCCTACCAGTGTGTGGGTTCTCCCAGCTACCGCAGAGGGGAGCCCGGAGCCTTGAGACTGTGGGTCCCTCCCACTCTGGAGCAGCCAGGTATGAAGAAGGACCTCAGGTGCTCCTGGCTCCCAGCAGGGCTGTGCCTCCCCAAAGGAAGGCAGCCCGCCTTCCCGGGCCCTGCATTCCACTGGCCAGACTGTGGAAGCTGCTCTCTGGGAGGGGTGGACACTGAGGGGCTTCTCCTCCACCCACCTGTCCTTCTTGCCTACAGAGGGCCGGTGGCCTCTTCGGCAACCACGTCAGCTACTACCAAAGTGACGGCCGGAGCGCCTTCCCCCAGACCTTCACCACTCAGCGCCCGCTGCACATCAACAAGGCAGGCAGCAGCCAGGGTGACACAGAGTCGCCTTCCCACGAGAAGCTGGTGGATTCCACCTTCACTCCCAGCAGCTACTCGTCCACCGGCTCCAATGCCAACATCAACAATGCCAACAACACCGCCCTGGGCCGCCTCCCCCGCCCCACTGGCCACCCCAGCACGGTCAGCACTGTGGAGGGCCATGGGCCCCCCTTGTCCCCTGCCATCCGGGTGCAGGAGGTGGCCTGGAAGCTCAGCTCCCAGAGGTAAGCGGGAGGCTGGCCACCCTGCTGTATTTTCTCCTTGTCCTCTGATCCCCTGTGCTCTAGGATGCACTGCTCTGACATGCTGGGATGGTGGGACTTCCCTCCCACCCTGGGCCCCTGCAGAGCTCCTCCCTGTCAGCATCAGCAGCTCCAGCGTTCCCTGGTGGGGCTGAGAGAGGTGCCTAGTCCCGCTTAACTGTGCTGCTTTTCCAGAGTAGGACAGTGGCTCCCAGCCGGCGGCACAGCGCCCCAGCATGTCAGCCTCCTGACATGCCTGCCCTCCAGCTCAGAAAATAGTAAGAGAAGTGGAAGCTTCTCACCAAACCCCTGGAAAAGTGTCCATCCAAGAAGCAGGTACCTGCCGTGGGCCTGCCCATCCCCCCAGAGGGCCCATTTTCAAGTGGCTGCATGCAAGCCCCTAGGGCCAGGCATTTAATTGTGTCAGATGACAGGCAAGTTAGAAAGACCATCCCCCTGTCTGCTTTCCTTTCTGCAAGGTGGCTGGTTTAGCCACCCAGAGGCAGCACTGGGGCATCCCTCAGCTCACGAGGCCTGCACTGCTGCCTTCTGTGCTCAGGGCAGCTTGCTCAGCCCTGGATTTGATGTGCTGGCCTCAAGGGCTGGCTTTACATAGGAGAGGATCTAATCTAGGCATCTAGTCTTGGGGGCCTGCATTTGTTGTGGGGGCCTCACCCTTCTCTGCAACCTCACTCCCCTTCCCCCCACAGCCTTTGAGGACTCAGGTACTGGATCCCCACACCCCTTCTCCCCTGCTGGCCTCACCAAAGCCTCTGCTGAAGGAGGGCTCCATGTCCATCTTCAGCATCTCAGGGTGAATTCAATCCCTACCCTCTAAGGGCATTTTCCTGTGAGGCTTTGTTCTCTGTGACAAAAGGGGGAAGAGACGTTTAGAGGAGCTGGGGAGGAGACCCTGGGGAATTTCCTTGTCCCCACAGATACATCTCTCCATGAAGCAAAACACGCAAAGCACCCAGCACACAGTCAGTGCTCATGAAATGTTGGTTCCCTCTGCCCACTGCAGACAGTACAAACAACAGGGCACCAAGCTTCAGCTTGGTGAAGAAGAGGAGCATAACCCACATCCCAGCTCCCTTGTCCTCTCTGTCACAGCTCAAAGCTAAGGGCAGCTCAGGCCCTGGCGTTGCCTGTGCTAAGAATGGGCCAGCACGTCCTGTGCCCGGTGGCTCCCAGAAGTGCTGTTTCCTGCCTGCTCCGCTCTGCACCTCCAACTCCTCCCCCCACACCCTCGCCAAAGCTCGCTCCACTTCCCTCCCCTCCCAATCCTCCTGGAGCTCCCACCTGTAACCTTTCTTTCCCACTGCAGTGGGAGTGGCAATCTGCAGGCCTCCTTAAGAGAGAGAACTGCTCCTACCCTGCCAGTGATGCTCAGAGCCAGGGCACTGATCTAGCCCTCAGCTCTGAGAGGATGGACCAGGATCTTTCCCTGATGCTCTCGGGGATCCGAGGATAAAGTGGGCCCAGCATGCAAGGTCTACAGAAAGCAAGACAGAGGGAGGCACTGAGCTGAGCTAGACAGGAAAAGGAAGAGGCCTTGGTCCAGAGCTAAAGAAGGCATGGCCTGTGAGCATAAGACCCTGTCCCAGGAGGGAAAGGCACGTCCTAGTGTGTGAGGATCTGGAGCTCAGGAGGGATTCTGGCTCAGGAGGGACTCAGGCTCACTGCCTTCTGTTCAGGAGAGCAAACCCCTCCAGGTGAGGCTTCCACTCTGTGCCTTTGCCCCACGGGGCCAGTGTCAGAATCAAGGACACCATCAAAATAGGATGCCAGAGACTTCTCAGCTGTACCAAATGCCAAAGACCCAGGTGTCATAGCTGGAGGTGAGTGGGGGGCAGACTCTAAGGCAGGGCATATGTCATTCCAATTTCATAGAAAGGGAAACTGAGGCATGAGGTGTGCTAAGCAACTTGGACCAGAGGATAAGTGAATTGGGGTCAGGACTCAGATCTCCCTGGATCAACAGTAGACATCCTTCTCCCTAATGGGACCCTCACCCTGATCTTAATACTTCCATGGACCCATCAGCAATCACAGGAAAACAAGGCATCAGCAACTGTGTGCCTGTTCACATATGTGTGCTTGTGTTTGTGCACGTGTGTATGCATGCATGTGTGTGCGTGTGTGGTGCTTTACTTCCTGAAGGAAGGGGAGGAGGGTTGGCAGTCCCTGATGTTTCTCTTCATCTTGGATATTGTAGGTGCCACTCCCGGGAGAGCCAGACAGCCGTGGTGGGTCAGGAGGAGACATCTCAGGATGAGACTTACGAAGTGAAGATGAACGATGACACGGAGGCCTGCAGTGAGCCCAGCCTGCTCTCCACAGAGATGTGAGCTCTGCTGCCCTCTGCCAAGGCCAGCCCGGGTGTGGGAACAAATCTGGAGAGGCAGGGGCAGGTCCCTGAGATCCATCCTCTGGGACTGATTGGAGGAGGAGAGGAGATCACAGAGAAACACCTGCACAGCCTCTGTCATCTCCTTAGTGAAATGGGAGCCCCCGTCTCACACACACACACACACACACACACACACACACACACAAACACACACAATGCCCTTTGTAGCTTGACCTTTCCCTGCCAGGAAATTTTCTGAACATTGTTTCTTAAACCTTTTAGGCTGTAAGACACAGGCATAAATATATTTTCTGGTGAGACTCAGTGCTCCCACACATATATTGACAATTAACAAGTGTTTCAACACGTTGCTTATAATAAAGCTGCCCAGAAGAGGGCACTGGTGGCAAACCTACGCCTGAGATCTTTTGTCCTTGCTGCAATTCCTAGAGTGTTTTAGCTGCAGATTTAGATCCTTTAGAAGGTTGTGACATTCATTTGGTCACTAACACTAGCCCTTAAAAGTCGGCGTAGCATAGCATAATAGAAATTATCAGAGTGCGTGGATGTCACAAAGGTAAGCGCTGTGTTGGGAAACACTTGCTTAATTGCCAACAGATGTGCGTATCAAGGGCGTCTCCCTGTGAAACGTTTTTATGACTGAGAGATGTCCACAGAAGTTTGAGACACATTGTTTCAGAAGCTTTTCTGGCTTTTTTCACCCTCAAAGCTCTGTCTCATCTGTTACTTTATTTGTGACTCACAGCAGGCCTCTGAGAGAGGCAGGGCATATGTTATTCCAATTTCATAGGGAAACTGAGGCATGGGGTTTTCCCCAGGGGGAAATGCCTGGGCCCTATAGGCTTGCATGCAGCCACTTGAAAACAGGCCCTCTGGAGGGATGGGCAGGCCAGCAGCAGGTGTGCCTGCTCCTTGGATAGACACCTTTCCGAAGGTTCAGAGTTATTTTCTGAGCTGGAGGGCAGGCGTGTCAAGAACCTGGCATACTGGGGGTCTTTGTCACCTGCTGGGAGCCACTGTCCTACTTTGGAAGAGCAGCACAGTTAAGCATAGCCAGGAGAAATGCAGGGCGTCACCAGGGAACCCTGGAGCTGCTGATGCTGACAGGGAGGAGCCCTGCAGGGGTCCAGGGCAGGAAGCAGGCACTCCCCGACCCATCCCAGCATGTCAGTCCAGTCAGTTCCTGAAAGGACTTTAGAGTGAGGGAGGACTAACCTTGCAGTCTTTTGAAGATAGGAAAGGTGTGGCTGGAGGTGGTGAGAGGGGGCACCAGGCCCCCCACTGGGGGGCATGTGGGGAGATCAGCAGGCAGACCTGATCAGCACAGTGTGATTTCCTGGGGTCCAGTGCTTTCTGCTCAGGAACTGGATGGGAAGAGTAGCAGAGGCACCTCCTTTTCCCGGCATAGAAAAAAGAGTCCAGTGAGTAAGGAAAAACATGAAAAGAGTCCCAACCAGCAACTCTTGACAAATCACTCGACTGCTCTGTGCCTTTGTGTCCCCATCAGCAAAATGGGGCATTGGGGTGACAGACCTTCTACTTTTCTGACTCAGTGAAACACAGTCAACCTAAAACCAAGAGAAATACCTGAAGTTCCTTATGAGATCATATGCTCTAAGTTGATTTTTAGAGAATACAAATGAATGCCTGGCCGCCTGCCCTAGAAATCGGGAAGAGCATGTGTTTTAACCTATTTTGGTTCTTCTGGAATGCTTGGTGCACCAGGTGCTCTGTGAAGTCATTAGGAATCCAGTCTCCATCCTCAGGGAAATTCCACTAACTAGGAAACTAAGAGGGTCTCAGGGGAGGAAGATAACACAGAGAGTTTCTCACTAATTACCCCCAGAGTGGTACAACCTCAAGGGGTACAGGCATTCAGAGAATGTTGAGGGCAGGGTGACCTTAATAGGTACCACGCACAGGGTCAAATAGTAGCTAGGTCTGAAAGAGTGGGGGTGATTTGCATAAGAAGAAAATATAATAGGGAGGCCTTACCTAGCTGAGAGTAAGAGCAAGGCTTGAAGGCATAAATACCGTGGTCTGCGCTCAGCCGGCATTCCTGCACATCTGTAAATTCCCCAAGTCTCTGTGCTGTGCCAGGAGCAGGCATGGAGTCACCCTCAGAGGTGTGGGGTGGCACCAGGGACCAGCGAGTCAGTGGTCTCATCTGGGAATGAGGTTGGAATGCAACTGTGCTTCTCAGACTGCAGGCCGGCCCAGCAGGGATTGTGAATCAAGATTTTAATAAAATCGAACAGACTAAAGTGGACTAGGACTCACCAGGGTGCCATGCATGCACTGAGGGTAAGCAAAGGGCATGAGGTTTCATTCCATTAGGTGTGTCTGCGCATGATGGGAAGGTGTCAGATCTACTTCTCATTGAGTCTCCATCAAAGGCCTGGAAGCCGTAGAATAGATGCCCCCTGAGATCCCTCACAGCCCTGCTGTTCACCTGCTGAGTGGCTGTAGGGTGGTTGTAGGCAGCTGCTCATGTGCTCTTGTTGATGGGGCGGGGGTGGCAGAGCAGGGAGAAATCGGGGATGAGGATAAGTTTGGGCTAAAGTTGAGAGTCACTGGGGAAAACAGCATCAGTTCATACAGACACGGGGGCCAAGGCCGTTTCCCAAAAGAACTTCGTCTGCCTAGGATTCTTTCAGCTTCCTTAATACCTTTGACCCTAGAGTCCCTTCATTTCCCCAAATCAGAACTGCAGGCCCATGAGACAGGCTGAAGGTGAGGAGCTGGCAACTCCCAGTGAGCAGGTCTGGAAGATGCCAGGGGCAGGCCAGAACTTCTTGGGGTGGCAATTCCCCAAACCGGCATGTAAGCACAAAGTGAGCGTCCCTTCACTAAGGATCAGAGCACAGTGCTCCCTGTGGGTGCAGCTGTCCCTGTGGGTGGCCACTTCTCAGCTTCCAGGAGCAAGCCCCAAGAGTTCTCTGTTCCAGGCTCTCCTACCAGGATGACGAAAATCGGCAACTGACACTCCCAGAGGAGGACAAGAGGGACATCAGGCAATCCCCAAAGAGGGGTTTCCTCCGCACCGCCTCACTAGGTAAATGCACACCTCGCTCTCCAGGGCTGGTCAGTGGTTACTCCCAAGAGGACACCGGTCAGGTACCCAGGGGTGATTGAGAAACCGTGTGGCCTGGCTCACACAGTGGGCTGGGTAGATTTCCAAAGCAAGGGACCACATTCCAAAGGCAGGGTGTGCAGGGATGAGCCCTGGAGAGATGCTTCAGAATACGTCTCTGAAGGAAGGGAGGGGAAAGGAGGAGTGTCCCGGGCCACAGTTACTGCTCCTGGCACCCACCTGGGTGTGAACTGTCATAGGCCAGCATCCTGTTTTCTGCCCTGATCCTGGCTCTCTGGCTGGCTTTGCAGGTCGAAGGGCCTCCTTCCACCTGGAATGTCTGAAGCGACAGAAGGACCGAGCGGGAGACATCTCTCAGAAGACAGTCCTGCCCTTGCATCTGGTTCATCATCAGGTAGCTTTTGGACAGGCCACTGTCACCTGCTAGCAGGCCAGACAGTCCCCAGGATGATGGACAAATCCTGAGGACATCAGTGGGTCTTGCCTGTCTCTGATGGCTGGCACATCCTGCTCCTGCCCTCAGAGCCACCCCATAGGGCTTCACACGCCTCCTGTGCAGGTAAAGGCCACAGCAAGTTTTGCAGCATTGCAGGGTGGGGGCCTAGGAAGTGCTGGTGCACAGGAGCTCTTCGTGTCATCCTGAGGACCCACAGCTGTGGGCTCCACCTGAGCTTTTTCTTAGGCTGCCACAAATCCCACTGACTCCCCAGACACTGACTTATGCTGTAGGGCACTCAGGAAGATGTACTTGTACCTAGAGTTTGAACATACCTGGAAATTTTGCTGCACAAAAATCCATCCAGTGACATATAGAAGTGACCAAAGAACCCGCCAGCCACATGGTCAAGAGTAGGGAATGACATCCAGGGAAGTCAGATCCAGGGAGATTCCATAAATGAAACTGTCTCTTGGCATGGCTGACTCCAGCTGAGACAGTGAAATCCAAGATGCCCGGACCAAACATATTTCAGTATCTTTGAACTTCAGTGTTATCTGAGGCCAGTCTATTAACCCCAGGCAAACTGAGTTTCCCAACATGCTGACCTTTTTAATGATATACTCTCTTATAGCATGGACGTATGCTTTAAATGACTTTTTTGTACCCAAAGGCATTCAGCTGCTAATCAAAACTCACAATCGGCATGAGATGGCCAGTGTGGCCTTGCTGAGTTGATATGACTTCAGCTCCAAGAAATGAACTGGTTTTCTTAGCCTATGTGTGTTGATTTCCACTGGGCTTTCGGAAATAATGAATATGGCCTTACACTTTTCTCAGATCCCCAGGGACCCAGGAGCCCCAGCCTGAGGACCACCATGGGCTGTGGCAGGAGGTGGAAGGATGTGGGGACACTATGTGTGCCATCTTAAAAGATTCCTAATAGTCAATTTCACCTATCTGTTCTTGTTATACTGGCAGGCACAAAACTCTCCTCTTCATCTCTTTCTCCTTCTGTTCTCTGTGCCCCTGGAGGTGGGCTTTCCCCACACACAGTATCTCTCTCTCTTCCGAGAGCACATCCCATCAGAGCAGCTCAGCTCGCCCTGCAGAGCCTCTGCCCTGGCAGGTTGTCATGGCAATAGCCAGGCAGGGCTGGTCCCTGCCCTCAGGATGCTCAAGAACATTCAGGGACAGAGGGCACACCACATGAATCTTTTAATCACAATACAGCACCAGATTTAACAATGGTTCAAAGACAACCTGAGCTAGAGACAGGCAGGGCATTATGAATGGCCCCGTTAACTGTCAGAACCAAAACCACAAATACTGGTTTTCCCGACTCTTTGTGAGGTGCAGAATGCTTCTTCGCGAACCTCATTGCACTTGAATCTCACACCAGCCCTGCAAGGCGAATGGATAGAGGGCATTCGCTCTCTGGCTTTACAGACATGCAGGCCTCACCCTGTTCTCCGTTCTGTTGAGGACAAAAGCAAGAGTGAGAGAATAAACAGGTGACAGGGTCAGGGCTAAAGGCAGGTTACCATGACTCCACCCAATCCCAGTTTGCAGAAGGTACAGGAGAAAGAGATCACTTCAGACCCAGATGATCCTAAGATGTATTTTGAGATGGTTGAAAGTCATGCCAGGTTAATGTATAGGACCAAGAGGGGGAAAAGATGGCATGTGAATATCAGGCTGGTGGAGCTAGCTGGACACAGCCCCTACAAAGCAGTGGTTGCTTAGAAGCAGGGGCCTGCCTTGCTTGGGGTGGACCCTCCTATTAACTCACACTCCTTGTGTGTCCGCAGGCACTGGCAGTGGCAGGCCTGAGCCCCCTCCTCCAGAGAAGCCATTCCCCCGCCTCATTCCCCAGGCCTTTTGCCACCCCCCCGGCCACACCTGGCAGCCGAGGCTGGCCCCCACAGCCCATCCCCACCCTGCGGCTAGAGGGGGCTGAGTCCATCGAGAAACTCAACAGCAGCTTCCCGTCCATCCACTGCGGCTCCTGGGCTGAGACCACCCCCTGTGGCGGGGGCAGCAGCGCCGCCCGGAGAGCTCGGCCCGTCTCCCTCACGGTGCCCAGCCAGGCTGGGGCCCCAGGGAGGCAGTTCCATGGCAGTGCCAGCAGCCTGGTGGAAGCGGTAGGTGACTCAAGGACAGACGGGGGGAGAGGCCACAGGCCACAAGGGGACTTGGCATGTGCAGCTGAGAAGGAAGCACCTGGCTCTTTCCAAATTCATTGCAGTCAATATCTGAGCAGAAAGACCCTCCCGGTCAGGGCTGCAGGAGGGCTGGTGTGCAGAAAGCCGTGCCCACACGAGATGCCATGGGCTCTCCTGAGGCCAGGCCCACTACAGAGGGCAACAGAAATCACTGAGCAACTCATCCCGGCCATAGACCTATGTGCTGCATCTGCTCAACATGCAAATGTGAGCTTGGCTGCCTTTCTACACAGACAGGCCAGATCCAAGGTGCTGAGGCCTGACCATCCATGACAATCACCTGGGGAGCTTTGGAAATGAGGACAAATTAACTGATAGTTGTTAAAGCTTTTCGATGATTTTGATGCATAGCCAGGCTGGGAGACACTAGTCTAGAACGAGAGAGCTTTCAGTCCCATGTGCTCTGTCTGGTCAGAGCAATCCTGTCTAGTGCAATCCTGGCACCACATTATTAGGGACCTTTGATACATTAGAACAAGACCAAAAGAGGATGACCAGAATGGCAAGTTCATAGACACCATTTCCTAGGAGAACCGGTTCTGGGAATTAGGGAAGAAAACCTGGAGAGAAGGTGAGCGTGGAGGGTGCAATGCACCTCTCACACCTGCAGCGGGAGGGATGGGGAGAGGTGGCAGAGTGACTGGCTCAGCCCACCAGCAGACAGATTTCAGCTCACACGAGGAAGACATTCCCAACTGGCCTCTTCCAAAATGACAGGGGCTTGCCTGAAAAGTGGGGAACCCCCATCACCAGACATAGCCAAGCAGAGGCTGAGCTCATCTAGACATCAGGCTGTGCGTGAGGTGGGGGAGTTAATCTGGTATTTCCTGTGGCCTTGGTCATCCTTCATTCATTTCACAGACCTCCCCTGACTGCCTGCTATGTGCAGGCGCTGTTCTAGGTACAGGAACACAGCTGAGAAACACAGCCTCTGCTCTCATGAGCTAACGTGGTGAGGAGAAACAGATAATAAACACACATATATACAACACATCAGGAAAGTCAGGAGTGCCAAAGAAAAACGAAGCAGGGTAAGGAGAGAAGGAGCAAGGCAGATGCCTGGAGGAGTGGGTGCCAGGCTGCACTCAGCTTCCTTCCACCTCCTGGCTCAGGAGCCAACTTTCCTATAGCTGGGCACTAAGCAGGCAGTCAGGGGAACAGAGAAGTTTGGGGGTCACCTGCTGGCCCTTCCCAGCAGAAACAGGGCAGGGGCATGCACAGTGTTTGCACGTATACCTCACCCCTGGAAAGGCAGCAGCAGGCAATGGGCAGTGGGCCTGTCTCGACAGTTTCACCAGGGAGAATGGTTTCTCTGAAAGAATAGTATAAAGGCTCTGTGGGTGTCAGAAAGGAGAGGCAGGCTGGGGTCTGCTGATGAAGCAGCAGGGCACCCCCCTCCCCAGGCCCCTCTGTGAGCCAAGCCTACTCTGGTTTTTGTTTTGGTTTGGTTGTCTTTTGAGACAGGTTCTTGCTCTGTCACCCAGGCTGGAGTGTAGTGGTGCAATCACAGCTCACTGCAGCCTGGGCTCCCAGGGTCAAATGATCCTCCCACCTCCGCCTCTGGCCTTGCGAGAGCCACAGGCATGCATCACCACACCCAGCCAAATGTTTTTAATTTTTCGTAGAGACGAAGTTTCCCTGTGTTGCCTGGACCATCTCAAACTCCTGGGCTCAAGCAGTCCTTCTGCCTGGGCTTCCCAAGGTGCTGAGTGACAGCTGTGAGCCACAGTGCTGGGCCATAAGCCAAGTCTATATATTTGATGACAGTGTTTGGCCAGCCCAGCCAAAATTCTCTCCTCTGGCCTGGACATCCCTAATTCTTTTGGCAGATGCTCCATCTCTACTTGTTCCCTATGGGTTCCACTCCCAACACACGCACACACACGTGCACACGCATGCGTGCACACACACACACACTTCCCCAAGTGATCACCAGATACCCCTGGCTCTAGCCCTCAAGAGAAGAGCTGGGCTCCAGGAATAATGTTCCTTTGGTTCTCCATGGCTCCCATCCCGCGTCTCTAGGTCTTGATTTCAGAAGGACTGGGGCAGTTTGCTCAAGATCCCAAGTTCATCGAGGTCACCACCCAGGAGCTGGCCGACGCCTGCGACATGACCATAGAGGAGATGGAGAGCGCAGCCGACAACATCCTCAGCGGGGGCGCCCCACAGAGCCCCAATGGCGCCCTCTTACCCTTTGTGAACTGCAGGGACGCGGGGCAGGACCTAGCCGGGGGCGAAGAGGACGCGGGCTGTGTGCTCGCGCGGGGGCGGCTGAGTGAGGAGGAGCTCCAGGACAGCAGGGTCTACGTCAGCAGCCTGTAGTGGGCGCTGCCAGATGCGGGCTTTTTTTTTATTTGTTTCAATGTTCCTAATGGGTTCGTTTCAGAAGTGCCTCACTGTTCTCGTGACCTGGAGTTAACCGGAACAGCGTCTTCATTCATTTCTGTTGGGACAAGACGCGGAGCCTGGGTGCGCGAGCCGCCATCCGGCAGGAAGGCGCCCGGCTGTGTCCGCAGACGCGGGGAGAGGAGACGGCGAGGGTCCCGGGGCGTGAGGAAGGCGCCTGCCCTCCCCAAGCCCGCAGGCCCCGGGACCGGCAGCGCCTCTGTGAGGAGAGCACCCCGGCTTCCTGCGCGCCCTCACCAAAAGGACCCTACAGCAAACGGGTGTCTTTCGACTCTGCTTGTAGAAAACATTTGCACATATTCTGTACGAGCCTGCTGTCTCCCTAGAGCCAGGGCCCTGCGGATTTGGAGAAAGGAGCCGGGCAGGACTACCAGGAGGACCCCGCCCGGGCCCGGAGAGGGAGGAGGAGGCCGTCAGGGGCGCGGAGCTTTGGGGATGGGCGTCGGGCCGGCCGGGGTGCCGCTCACCTCGACCGGTCCCCATCGACCCGCGACAGGATCGCCCCACAGGCACAGGCCACGCGGGGCTCCCGGCCAGCCGCCCGCCCGCAGGCAGCGCAAGGGAGGAGCTGCGCCGCAGGGAAGGGGCCGCCGGCTCCGCCCGACCAGGTGGTGCTGAGCTTCCGCTGAGCGCTCTTTTGTTTTGTGGTTTGACACTTTTCTTGACAGCATGTTGCAGTTTTCGGTTTTTTGGATTTTTTGTTTTGTTTTGTTTTTGGTTTTGGGTTTTTATTTTTTATTTTGTTTTCCCAGGGGGAAGGGAGGAAGAAGAGTGTTTACAAAGTCCTGTAGCCCCCTCACCTTTCTGTTTTCATTTTTGCCAATGTAAATCGGGTTTGGTTTTCTTGTATTATTTAAAGGATTGTCGTTTCCTTTTCCCACGGAGGTTCAATAGAAGCCCCTGGAGGAGAGTTTTACCATCCTTTGTGTATGCCCAATAATTTGTCATCATTTCCTTAGGTAGTAACCTATTTTTGTTCTGGTTTAGTTCGGTTTTCTAATGCAAAGGTAACTGGCAATGCACTTGATGTGGTCTTGCACATGTGGGTGATAGAGTTGGGTTCCTTTTTATGCTGGGTGTACAGGGGTTTGGGGGAGAGCAGCATGCTCGAGAGACTCTGTGAGTGTGCGACGCGTGTGTGCGTGGTGGGTTGTCTGTGCGCATATGTCCTACCTATGTATATGCACCCACACCATATGCCCGCGCACACCAGTGGCTACGCAGTCCCCCCTTTCTGGTTTAACTGTGGGAAGATCTGAATCTGGGGCCATTTGAAGGCAAAAACAAACCCACTGTCTCTGTTTCTGAAATGGGAATCAGTAACCCTTTGCATTCTGTCCCACAAGATATGCAAAAACAATGCAATAATATTCATTTAAAAATACAATTGTGAGTTGTGTTGGCATTAAAGCTGTATTTAAAAAAAAGACACAGAAATTTAAGAGAAAAACACAAGAAGGCATTTTGCTTCAATATATTCCGTGTAATGTTTTATTGCATTGATAATGCTTCTGTTGAAGAAACCGTTATACTTGAATTCAGGTCAGTTTCAGTATTTTTCAAATATTTTTTTAAAACTGAATTGCAATTGTGCCAAGCGAATATAATGAATTGAATTAAGTTGGGTTTTGGATTCACTTCTTGTATATTTTGCTGCATGTAAAGTAAATCATTTTGTATTTGGAGTGTGATAGGCTCTACCTTTGAACTCTTAAGTGCTTTTCTATATGTGGTTGGGGGAAAGGGAATGAGTTTTCTTTAATTTGCACAACGAGCAAAGGTATCAGCAGTGCAGCCATTATTCTGCTCTCCACAACAGGCTTGGACACTACTGTTTTGCATATCTTGTGTTCGCTTCCATTTCCCTCAGTTTTTCCAAAATCATTTGCTGGGTATGTTCGTACCGCCTCCTGCTGTGAGACCAGGACCTATTTTATTCCTGTCTTCACTGTGTCCACCCTGCTCTGGTCCTCTGATTTGGTACTTCTCCAAGAACAGTCCTTCACTATGAGGCTTAGGGAGGCATTCTGACCAGCCCTCAGTCTCGGGGCTGGCGTGTGCATCCCCCATGGAAGAGGCGGCTGGCTTGCCCTTCACTCCCACCACTCAGACTTTTCTTGTTGGGTTCCTTAGAAAAGTGTACACTAACCAGGAGGATGAAATTAAAGTCAGGCTGCTTGGAGGGAGGGGCATCCTCACTTCAGGGATCTGCTCTATCCAAGAAACAGCAGGGGCTCGAGAAAGGAACTAACTGGTGAAACCAACTGAAAGTCAACTCTGCCTGCTCCTTTCTCCGTCCCTTCCTCACTCCGGAGCTGCCTTGCCTTCAGGCCTGCCCTCATGTTTGGGCTGCCAAGGAGGGGCCAGGACAAGGGAAGAGGCATCAGGAGCTCACGGTGCGGGTGGGGATGGATTTTGTGAGGACATCTCCGCTGCTCATTTACATCTCCCTACTCTGTTGGTGCTGTGTCCTTCAAATGTGTGTCAACAGTGATGATTGAAAAGGGACTGCTTTGGGGAAAACAGGACCCAATCATTTGCCCAGAATTGACCCATTGAATCTCTTCCAGTCCTAGCATTCCCTCAGCCCCTCTTGGCACACATACAAGCAAGCTAGAAATTAAGGAAGAGTCCGTTCCTCTATGGCAACTTGCTAGACTGATTCATGAAAAGGTGGAGAAATGTGCTCAATACTCCCCAGTTAACACAGGCTAGAAACAGAGCTTCTTCATGGATCTCCCAAGTCATCCAAACTTTCTTGATTCCCTTTCAGTGCCCATCCGGCTCCCCTAGAAATTGAGTTTAGGTATCATCCTTTGAAAAGTTTCCAAGATTTCTTCCAGGAAGTACACACAGGAATCCTTGTCCAGGGCAAGAGGACTTTCCTAGCCTGACCTCCTGATCCACTAGAATGAGACTGACAGAACAGACTGGCACACCAAGTAGCGACATCAACAAACCGCAGCCACGAGTTTCAAAGTGGTGTCTACTCTCCACCTAAAATGGAATTTTCCCCATGACCTTTTAAAACATAACTGTCACATCTTCCATACCCCTCCCGACAGCCACCGAGTGGCAGGAGAAAACAGCTAAGGGCTGAGGGCCCAAGGGACTTGGAGAAACACAGTTTAGGATCTGCAGTTAAGTCAACTTAATCCTCGTCCTCTGACCAGCCCTGCCTCTTTCATTTCCAGACCTTGGTGAACTTTTCCCAGCTTTGATTCAGAAGGTATTAGTTATAACCCCTTTTCTTCTTAACCCAGTAGGCCTCACTCTGACTGGGAAATCCACTCAAAGGAGCAAGGCAGTGTCTCTCATTCTCCCGTTTCCCAGTTTCAAATTCCAGGTGCTTGTCTGGAGCGAAGCTGCCTGTCACTTTCTCCCAAGTTTTCTCTACCCAGCACATCTCCTGGCCATCCCGCTGAAGACAGGGGTGCAACCTCAGGAAAAGCAGGTCTTTGCATGCTCAAGTTCATCTCCTGAGAAATAGGGACACCTTGAAAATGAGGACTTTGGAAGTTACCCAGAGAATGGTGGCTGCGAGCCCTGAGGTACACAGTCACCACTGCTAAAGGCAAAGCAATGGAATAAGAATGTAGGTCAGAGGTAGAATGCAACCCTGCTCCTTGGGGGTTTTAGCCTCATCAAACCATCATGGAAAGGGTGGCAAAGGAGGATGATGGCATCTCCGTCCCTAGAGGCCTAGAATAATTAAATATCATTGTCGAGGATTTAGAAACAATTCAGCAAAGAGCCCACAAAATGGGTCTGCTGGCTCCCAGAAGACCTCCTTAAACCCCAAGGGAGGAAACTTGATGATGGCTTCTGGGCCAATTCCATGTTTTAAAGAAGACCTGCCTCTGAAGCAAATGTCAGCACAGAGAGGACTAGGGGGTGAATGAAGGCAAGAAAAGGGCATATTTTGACTCCCTGTGTCTCTTCCCATTTCATGGAAGGACGTGTTCTGCTCAGCCACCCACAGTGACCAGTGTGGTGGAGCCGCTGACATCTCGAGGATCTATTTGGGAAGGTGAGAAAGTGCACATTCCATCTGGGGGTGTTGTCCCTGCCACATCAGCCTACCTGGTGGGGTGTGAGGGTGTCTGCCGCCCTGTCCCCCCTCTGCTGATGTCCCTTCCCTCATGTTGTCCAGGTGCCACCAGACACAGGCCCCCGTACAAAGGCAGGCGGGGAAGCCCGAACCTCACAAGGAGGCCCTCGGCTGCCAGAGTCCAGGTTCTCCAGCAGCTACGATTTAAGGAGGTTGAGGGGAAAGACAGGAGGGAAAGAAGAGTCCTACAACCATCAGGGATGGGGCACCTTTCCCTGTCCCTGAGCAGAGCTCCCTCTTCCCACTGCCGTCCCCAGCCCCAGCTCCCTGTCCTCCCCAAAACCTAGTGAGAAAGATGGTGTGTGGAAGTGGTCCCATGGGCAGATGCTACACAACCTCTTTATGAAGCCACTTCTGGGTTTAACTTATTTAAGTCATTTATTTTTATGTCAAAGCAATGAAGCATTTCTTTGTGGAGCCAGATAGCAATATAACAGACCAATGGGTTTCTGCCACATCTCTACATTATCGTGGGGGATGCTTAACCTACCTCTCCCCCTCCCCACCCTTCAGGCCCAAGGGCTGGGATTCAGCTCTAGGTATGGGACTTCCCTACTCCTGCAAGGCTGAGCACTGTACACACAGACAAGGAGGGCGCAGCAGAGTGATGCTCCTGGGTGGAAGTAGTACCATCAGAACCTTATTATTATGAGATAAATACTATTTACGTACATTGAGAGAGTACTACAATCAACGCTTCCTCCTGGGGTGACCTTAAGAGGTTTGAGCCACTGCACCTGAAGTGGTAAAGGTCCGTGGTCTTTGTGGGGTGTTAGAGAAGCCTTCAGTCACCTCTGAAAGCACTCTAGCTCTTGCAGCTCAGTGGATGAAGAGTAACAAATCTGTTGAGCACTGGGAGGAGTCAGAGTTAGCATTTTGATGAAAATTCTCCCACATGTCTACTAAGAATGAGGAAGACAAGATGAAGACGAGGTGATTACACAAAGGTCTGAAATGTTATATCCCCAGAGCCAAGTCCTCTCCCTTCAGATCAGTTACTGGCTACTGCACAGGGGCACCCCCACCCTTGCAGGGCATCCCATGTACCCCAATTCTCAGGAGCTAAGGAGTTTGACTTTGTAGGGATCCCAGAAAGGGCACCGTGCCACTTCCTTTGGCATGAATCAGACATACATTGTACATTCGTTTCTTTTTTTTTTGAGACAGAGTCGCCAGGCGCCAGACTGTGGCACAATCTCGGCTCACTGCAACCTCTGCCTTCTGGGTTCAAGCAATTCTCCTGCCTCAGCCTCCTGAGTAGCTAGGACTACAGGCGCATGCCACCATGCCCAGCTAATTTTTGTATTTTTAGTAGAGATGGGGTTTCATCATGTTGGCCAGGATGGTCTCGATCTCTTAACCTCATGATCTGCCTGCCTTGGCCTCCCAAAGTGCTGGGATTACAAGCATGAGCCAGTGCACCTGGCCCATTGTACATTTATTTCTAAAATTCACTCATGCACCTCAGACTAAGGTCATTATCCAAAAAAAAGCTCTGGGTGGAAGAGCTTGTAGGTTTTAAGAGAGGGTTATTTCTCTGTGAGGAAATGCAGAAATTGACAGAAAGTTTCTTATACACTGTTTGAGTCTGGAGAATTTCCATTATGGAATTCTTAGAGATCTCAAGTTTATTGGCAAGGGAATATGGAAAAAGAGGTGAGCAGGCACCAGGCTAAGCATTGGCCCCCTTGCCAAGGAACCTGGGGCTGTAGGTTTCAGAGACCTCCTTAAAGAAACCTGGCCATTGGCCAGAAAAAAAGAGAAGACTCTTCTATAGAGTCACAAGAGAAGCGAAAGCAGGTGTGTCACTGGGTCCTGTATATAGCCCCCAATCCCAAGACTTCCCAACATGGAGAAACTACACCAATGTTTAAAAGGGGAAAGGAAAGAACTTGCACATCAAGGGAAGATGACTTGTAAACACAGTCCTGTGCAAAGATCTCCTTCAGGAGGTGTCTCTAGCATCCCAGAGCTGTGGGCACCTTCTGCTTTCCTGCCTCAGGCCTCTTATGCATCCAGCTGCACCCCATCCCCAAACCCAAAACCCATCTCTTGAATCCCAGCCAGATTATATACCACCCCATTGCCATGTCCCACCCTGCCCAGAATGTATGCTGTTCTCCCAGAGCCTCGCGGGAATGAGGCCTTGCAACGCGGCCGTGGGAAATGTCTGTGATGGTAGTGGATGAGAATAACCGGTGGCAAAACACACATGTTCATTAAAAATAGGGTGACAGATTCCCCGTTGGTGAAGCACTGAAAGGTCTATGACTCTCATCATATTGCTGTTTTATTTTAATCCACCAGAGCTACCATGCAAAACTTTCCTCCCATGAAAGGCTCCAGATAAAGCTCCTCTATCTCTCCTCTCCTCGTGTCCTCCCACTCAAACCCACCTTTATCCCCAAAACCAATCTGTATCATGCCTGTTCTCAGAGAGGCACAGAAAAATGGGCAGTGCCTCCATTGTCACCATTACCCAGCCCCTGCACACGCCACACCCTCCCCTCCAGGCTCCACGACTTCACAGTCTTACTGTTGTAAATATCATTGTACAGTTTGTAATCCTCAAATAATCCCATTGTCGGAGGCCTCGCCTGATGAGCCTTCTCACCCTTGAGAAAGGCCAGGGAATCTAGAAGGGGCAACCCTTCAAGGAGAGTTTCAGGGTCAGCTCTGTGTGAGACACTATTGTATATTCCTGTAAGATTGCATTTTTATCTAAGGAATGATGTTATTTAAAAAACAAACAAAAAACACAAAAAATAAGAATTGCAAATAAATTTCTTAACAATGTCTATATTGGCTTCATTGTATCTTCCCTCTTCTGTATTCCTTCCTTTTTCTTAGGGGTCACAAAAACAAACTGCGCTGTTATCTGAATTGTCTGGGATTCCCCCAAAAAGAGGAAGGCTGGAGAGAATTCAGGAAATATGAATTCAATGATAATACTTAAGTCCATTCAGCAGTTAACCCATCCCCTATTTCTTCCTTCTCATGGAAGAGTTAACGGAAGAATGGCCAAAAGTTAAAAAGGAGACAAAATCAGAGACATTAAATGGTTAATCCACATGGATTAGGCAGGAAAAGCTGTCTTCTAAATTGGTTTTGAAAGAAGGACAGAAGGGAAGAGGGAGGGAATGTAGGAGAGAAGGAGGGAGAGATATGATAATATATTAAATACTATGAAGACAACACAAATTAAGGTTGCTTTTTCTTTTGGTTATTATAACTTAAACTGACTTCGAGAATGCTTTCAGAATAATTCCCTACGTAAAAATAGTTTTTCCCAGAGGATTCTTGGAAGATAGCAGAGTAAGGAGCACCGACTCCTCCCCAGGAGACAACAGATACACTGGCAGAAATTGTTTTGTGTAACAATTAATATTTTGAAACTCTGGAGTCTAATGAAGGCTTGTAACTTCAGGGGAAGGCTTGGACAGTAAATCAAGATTAGTTTTGGTTAATTTCAGCCCTTAGTACAGTAGCAGCTAATCAACTCTCCTCTCCTACTCCATTTTCTACCCCTGGAAGGGTGAACATAGACAGGCATAAAGAGAGAACCAGGGTGACTTCCTTGGGTAGAAATAGCACCATCAGAACCTATTATTATTATGAGAAAGTACTATTTACCTCATAATACAGGCAGCTGAGCACTTGTCCAATAGCAGCTTGCACACAGCGTGTAGGCGCCAGAGTGAGCTAAAAGTATCTCGTTCTTCAAATTTCAGAGATCTTTGTTCAGAGTACTGATGGCTGTTTCTATGCACAGAGGTGCAAGCCCAGAGGTGGGCAGCTACTTTTGCTGCACCTCTCCCCACTGTTGCAAGCCCCTCCACCACTGGCTGAAGTGATTTCCAGATAATCTGAAGAGCCAGCAACCCTCCTCCCCTTTACTTTTCTCTTTCCTTCTTTGGGAGCCAGACGTTAAAGACTAAGATGCTCAAAAGCAACTGCATATACGAGGAAAATTAGAAAGTGACTGCACATGCCCATGGAAGGAAACAGGCTCAGAAAACACCTTAGGTTTACACCTCATGCTAATCCTTTTAGGCCACAGAGATGGCCTAAAACACTAAAGACAAAAACATTCCCAACAAACACTAAGGAAGGAGGAATTCTGATTTCCAGAGCTACCATATACTTAGATTCGAATGTCCAGATTTCAACAAAAAGTCACAGGCCATAGAAAGAAACAGGAAAGTATGGCCCATTCAAAGGACAAAAATAAATTCACAGGAACTGCTCCTAGAAAAGACCTTATGGCAGATCTACTAGACAAAGAGTTTAAAACAACTCTCTTAAAGATGTTCAAAAAGCCAAAGAAAGAGATAAAGTCAAGAAAAAAGATGTATGAACAAATAGTTATATCAATAAAAAGGTAGAACACGGCCGGGCGCGGTGGCTCAAGCCTGTAATCCCAGCACGTTGGGAGGCCGAGGCGGGTGGATCACGAGGTCAAGAGATAGAGACCATCCTGGTCAACATGGTGAAACCCCGTCTCTACTAAAAATACAAAAAATAAGCTGGGCATGGTGGCGCGTGCCTGTAATCCCAGCTACTAGGGAGGCTGAGGCAGGAGAATTGCTTGAACCCAGGAGGCGGAGGTTGCGGTGAGCTGAGATCGCGCCATTGCACTCCAGCCTGGGTAACAAGAGCGAAACTCCGTCTCAAAAAAAAAGGTAGAACACCTAAAAAGAAACAAACAAATTCTAAGGCTGAAAATACAAAACCTGAAACGAAAATTTTACCAGAGTGATTTAAAGTCAGGTTTGAGGAGGAAGAAAAAGAATCACTAAATGTAAAGATAGAACAATGAAAATTATTGAGTCTGAAAAACACAGAAGTAAAATATTGAGAAAAGTAAACAGAGCCTTTTAAAAGGGCCTGTGAGACACCATCAAGCAAATCAATGTACACATTGTTGGAGTCCACGAAGAATAAGAGAGAAAGAAAGAAAGAAAAAAAAGAGAGAATATATGAAGAAATAGTAACTGGAATTTTTCCAAATTTGACTAAAGACATGAATATAAACATCCAAGCTTAACAAACTCTAAGTAAGATGAAAAAAACACATACTAAGACATGTTATAATTAAGTTTTTGAAAGATAAAGAGAGACTCTTAAGAGCAGCAACAGACAAGTGACTTATCACATACAAGAGATTCTGAGTAAGATTAACAGCAAATTTCTCCCTTTCTTGGGAATTTCTCCCTTTCTTTTGAGGCCAGAAGGCAGTGGGCCAGTATATTCAAAGTGCTAAAGGAGAGAGAAAAATGACTGTCAGACAATAATTCCATATCTGGCAAAATTGTATTCCAAAAGTGAGGGAGAAATTGAGACATTCCTAGGTAAGCAAAAGCTGAAGGAGTTTGTTACCACTAGACCTGCTCTGCAAGAAATGCTCATGGGAGTCCTGCAGGGTGAAATGAAACGACACTGGGCAATAATTTGAAGCTGTATGAAAATAAAGACCTCAATTAAGGTCAATACATGGACAATTATAACTCTGCTTTTTCTTTTCTACTCCACTTTCTATTTTCTACTTGCCCAGTCTGGTGTCGAAATGCTGAAGCCAAGTGATCTGCCCACCTCTGCCTCCCAAATTGCTGGATTACAGGCATGAGCCACTCTGTCCAGCCCTTTTTCTTCCTCTTTTATTTGTGTGTGTGTGTGTGTGTGTGTGTGCATGTGTGTGTTTAAGTTAGGTTTTGCTTCGTCATCCAAGCTAAAGTGCAGTGGTCTGATCACGGCTTGCTGCAGCCTCAACCTGATGGGCTCAAGCCACCCTCACACCTCAGCCTCTTGAATAGCTGGAGCTACAGGTGCACACCACCAGGTCTGGCTAATTTTTTGTACTTTTGGTAGAGATGGGCTTTTGCCATGTTTCCCAGTCTGGTCACCAATTCTTTAACTCAAGTGATCTGCCCACCTTGTCATCCCAAAGTGCTGGATTGCAGGCATGAGCCACTGTGCCCAGCCCTATTTTTTCATTTTTCTTTGTTTTATTTCTTTTCAGATTAGGACTTGTTCTGCTACCCAGGCTGCAGTGCAGTGACGTGATCACGGCTTGCTGCAGTTTCAACCTCGTGGGCTCAAGCAGTCCTTTCACCTCACGCTCTTGAATAGCTGAGACATAGGTGTGCGCCACCATGCCTGGCTAATTTCTTGTACTTTGGGCACAAATGCAGTTTTGCCATGTTGCCCAGTTTGGTCTCAAACTCCTGAACTCAAGTGATCTCCCACCTCAGCTTTCCAAATTGCTGGGTTAGAGTTGTGAGTCGCTGTGCCCAGCCCTGTTGTTTCCTTCTTTTTTTCTTTCTGTTTTTATTGACATTCGGTCTTGCTGTTTTACTGAGGCTCGAGTGCAGTGTGCAATCACGATTTGCTGCAACCTCAACCTCCAGGGCATAGGCAATGCTCCCACCTCAGCCTCGTGAATAGCCAGGACTAGGGGTGCACACCATACGCCTGTCTAATTGTTGGTATTTTTGGTGCAGATGGAGTTTGCCATGTTGCCCAGTCTGGTCTTGAACTGCTGAACTCAGTGACCTGCCCACCTCGACATTCCAAATTGCTGTGCTACAGGCATGTGCTGCTGTGCCCAGCCCTATTGTTTTCTTTTCTCTGTTTTTATTTTGAGATTAGGTCTTGCTCTGTTACCCAGGCTGGAGTGCAGTGGCGTGGTCACAGCTTGCTACAGCCTCAACATCCTGAGCTCAAACGATCCTCCCACCAGTCTCTTCAGTAGCTTAAACCACAGGTGCACACCACCATGCCTGGCTATTTTTGTGTATTTTTGGTAGAGATGAGGTTTGGCCATGTTGCCCAGTGTTGTCTCCCACTGCAGAACTTAAGTGATCTGCCCACCTCAGCCTCACAAATGTGTGGGTTACAGGCATGAGCCACTTACTGAGCTGAACACCTAAGATTAGTCTTTTTTCTTTTATGTGAGTTATTTCTCAATGGAAATTTAAACACAGCCAGGCTCCGGGTTCATGCCTGTAATCCCAGCTACCTGGGAGGCTGAGGCAGGAGAATCATTTGAACGCAGGAGGCAGAGGTTGTGGTGAGCCAAAATTGTGTCACTGCACTCCAGCCTGGGCAACACAGTGAGACTCTGTCTCAAAAAAAAATAAAAATTAGCTGGGTGTGGTGGTGCATGTCTGTAGTCTCAGCTACTTGGAAGCTGAGACAGGAGGATCACTTGAACCCAGGAGTTTAAGGCCATCGTGAACTGTGATTGCACCACCGCACTCCAGCCTGGGCCACAGAGGAAGACACTGTCTCTAAAAAAAAAAAAAGGTTAGGCTGGACTCGGTGGCTCATGCCTGTAATCTCAGCAGTTTGGGAGGCCGAGGTGGGAAGATCATCAGGTCAAGAGATCGAGACCATCCTGGCTGACATGGTGAAACCCCATCTCTACTAAAAATACGAAATTAGCCAGGTGTGGTGGCGCACGCCTGTATTCCCAGCTACTCGGGAGGCTGAGGCAGGAGAATTGCTTGAATCTGGGAGATGGAGGTTGCAGTGAGCAGAGTTTGCACCACCGCACTACAGCCTGGCACCTGGCAACAGAGCGAGACTCCATCTCAAAAAAAAAGGTTGATTTCCAGTCAATTTTATGTGGAATGCCGCAACTGATGGCAGTGAAAAAGTCTCATGATGGCCTTCCAAGGGAGCTAGAGAGGTGGCAGGGAGATGGCCCTGAAGAAACTCCTCCCGGGCCCCCATCCTCTGTGTTCCTGGGGACCCTGAAGACACTCTGGTGACCACGATGCTGACGAGGCTTGCCCCCTG